AGTCGACGCTTTTTACGCCAGGAGAAGAGAGACTCCAAAGGTACATCGGAATAGTTTCGTTTTCTGCGGATTGTCTCTGCCTGAAGGAGTTGATCATCAAGACAATGGGCCTTCCTCTTATCACAAAAATATCTCCGCTCATATTGCCAAACGAAACGTCTATGGAATCGTGAATGCAAGAACCGTCCCACATAAACTCACCATCGATATCCTTTTGTACGACTTGCCGGATAGTTTCCACAGGATACATATAGGTAACATGGTTGATTTTGAGTTAATTCGGAGACTATTGCTCTGGCGGCGTACCGTCCAAGACGCATGTGTTGCATTGGCGGAGCTGGACCAGACTGTGGACACTGATCAATACCACGATTAGCAAGCGAATCGACGATGCATTTCTTCCCTCTGGGTATGTGCTCTGTCTGGATAAAATCCAAGTGGGCCGTCGTGGTGGCCACGACCTGGCTCACCCAACATCTGCCGCATTATCGATTCGTTATCCCCTTCTATCGCCAGACGGCGAATGCACATCTGGGCGCAGACTTCCAATCCAATCAGCATGGCATGCCACTCGGCGTCAAAATTTTCAATCTAAACGGAGTCGGTAAGGAAGTTCGCAAAGCTGCTCGCCATTAGGGTCGCACACAGCATCCCAATCCAGATGAATATTTGTCCCTTGAAGCCCCATCGACCTTTCATAAATTATCCCAGTGCGACCCTACCTAGGAGTTGGAGCATCTAGGAAAGCAACATCTACATCTACACCGACAGCTACATTTACATCTACACCTGCATCTACATCTACATCAACATCAACAGCGAGACTCACATCTACATCTACATCTACACCTACATCTACATCTACATCTACATCCACACCTACATCCACATCTACACCTACACCTACATCTTCATCTACACTTTCGCATTGGTTTTGCTTTTGCTTTGCATTGCCTTTGCTTTTGCTCTTGCCTTTGCTTTTGCATTTGCCTTTGCTTTTGCTTTTGATTTTCCTGTTGCTTTTGCTTTGCTTTTGTTTTTGCTTTTGCTTGATTTTGTTTTGTTTTGCCTGCGCACAGACACACACACACACGCATGTTTTCGCATTCGCTCACCGGGTGTGCTTGCTATGCTATGCTATGCTATGCTATGCTATGCCATGCGGAGCTATGCTATGCTATGCTATGCTATGCTATGCTGTGCTTGGCTATGCTATGCTATGCTGTGCTAATGCTGCGCTGCGCTATGCTGCGCTGCGCTAAGCTAAGCTAAGGTACGCTAAACTATGTTAAGATAAGCTAAGCTAAACTAGGCTAGGCTAAGCTAAGATAAACTAAGCTAAGCTAAGATGATATAAGCTAAGCTAAGCTAAATTAAGCTACGCTAGGCTAGGCAAAGCTAAGCTAAGCTAAGCTAAGGTAAGATGAGATAAGCTAAGCTAAACTAAGCTAAACTAAGCTAAGCTTAGCTAAGCTAAGCTGGGTGAACCCAGGGGGCGCAACTGGGGGAACCGCGGGGCGGATACTGGGGGAACCGCCCGGGGCGCTTTCCACTGCCCGCCCCTTTAAGCACAGAGAGTAAGAACCCTTCTAGGCATCGTGCCCGCTGGCGCTGGCCTCCAGCTTCTCTCGCAGCCAAACGCTGCGCCTCGCCGCGGGGTGCTGCCGCGCCCGCCCGTCTCACATCGTGTGCGCTGAACCCAGCGTTATAGCTGTTGGCGCTGGTCTCCAGCTCCTCTCCTAGCAGTTCGCTGAACAGCGCTGGAGCCCGCTGCCCTGGCTCGCCCGCCTCGGACCGTGTGCGCTAATCTCAGCGTTGAAGCTGACAGCGCTGGTCTTTAGCTTCTTCTCGCCGTAGCTCGCCGCGAGCGCCCGTCTCGCCTCGCGGGCGTTGACCCCTGCGTTGTAGCTGCATAGGGCTGACCCGTGGACTACGTCCACGATATCTGGCCGGGGGTAGTCTCGGGGGAGCGGCGGGGATGCCGCCGAACATGCTATCCACGTGGCGGTCAGCCCCTCGGCTTCGAGGGGGCCTCTGGGGGCCTTCCTGGGCTCTCGTCGGTGCTGTTTGGGCCGTCTCGTTGTACCGTCTTGGGCGCCTCTTGGGCCGTCTGGGGGCCGTCTTGGGCGGCTCCTGGGACTGTCTTGGGCGCCTTCTTGGCCGCCTCGGGGCCGTCGCGGGCGTCTATTTGGCCGTCTTCGGGCCGTCATTGGGGCTGTGTTGGGTGCCTCTTGGGCGGTCTTCTTTGTGGCCGCCGGGGGCGCGTCGGCGACGACAAATACGATTATGCCAAACGTGCCAGTTTTCCGATGGGAATGGGGCAATGTTTGCGTCTCGGGGCTGTCCTGGGGAATCCTCGAGGACCGTCTTCGGAAGCTCCTGGCTTGCCCTGGGGGCCCAGCGGCGTCTTGAGCGGCTCGGGGCGCCCGTGGAGCCGTCGTGGTGGCCTCTGGAGCGGCCCGGGGCCGTCTTGGGGTCGTCGGGCCCCCCCCCTGAGCGGTTAGGAGCCGCCTTTGGGCCGTCGGGGCGGCCTCCGCAGCGTCTCGGAGCCGCCGTGGGGTCGTCGGGGCGTCCTCTTCGGCGGCTCGAAGCCGCCGTGAGTCACCCGGTGCAGGAGCCCTTCTCGCGGGCATTGCTCCGGGTATTGTAAGAGAGACGTCGCTGGTCTGCAGCTCCCTCACGCCGCAGCTAGCTGGGCAGCGTAGGGGCATGCTGCCGCTGCTCGCCTGTCCCGCATCGCAAGTGCTGGTCCCCGTGTTGTAGCTGATGGCGCTGGTCTCCAGCTTCTACTCGCTGCACCTGCGAATGCCGTCTGGCGATCGCCGAGCTGACGGACTCCAGGTTGCTCGTGATCGGGGCCGCCTCCAGCGCCGCCACAACGGCGCCGTCGTCGAGGTGCTCGCCGCCCCTGAACAGCACCCGCGCGATGCGTATATTCTCCACGCCGAAGTACATGTTATTGTACTCGTTGGTAAGGTTCAGGACGAACTTCTGGGCGATGTCGAAGCCCTCCTGCTTCGGGGAGCCGCGTCCGTCGAACGCGGTGACGAGGTCCTGCCAAGGGATGTCGATCTCGTCGCCGACACCATCCTGTGTGTTGCTCTCTAGCAGTTGGAAGCGGGCCGTGTAGCTGCGGAAAGGGGGATGTCCACCTTCCGTGTGCGCGCCTGGATGCCGCCGCCGCGGGATATCAAGCAAGGCTCCCGCGCCGTCCACGGTGTGAGCGTGCAGTCGCGGCCGCACGAACCGACGTTGCACTGCTGCTCGCATCGCTCTCGGGAGCCAAAGTCAACCAGCTGCTCTCCGACGTGCTGCTGCACGCCGAGATGTTAGTGCCCGCCGTGCTGCTCAGCGACGCGGTGTTTTCGGCTGTGCCCGTCCCGCTCGTGGGCGTCCGGATCGGGCTTCTGCTCTCTCTTTCCGGCAGGCTCGACAACGAAATGCTGCAGGTGCACTCCCGAAGTGTTGCTCAACCTCAAGACGCAAGTGTCTGAAATGCGGTTCAGCGACGTGGTACTGTAGGCAATGCTTGTCCCACCTTTGGACGCCAAGGTCCGGGTGCTATGTCCCACGTGCTACTCAACATCGAGGTGCTAGTATTCGTCGTGGCTGTTGAGGCTGGTCTCCAGCTTCCCCTCGCTACCGCTCGCTGAGCAGCACCAAAGCCTGCCGCCGCGGCTCGGCCGCACAGCGGCGCAGGTGTGAATCGCAGCGTTGCAGCCGATGGGGTTGGTCTCTAGCTTTCTCTTGCCGCATGTCGCTGGGCAATGCTGGAGCCTGCTGCAACAGTTCACCCCGCTCGCACCGCGGGCGCTGATCCAGGTGATGCAGCTTTCGAAGCTGGTCTCCAGCTTCTTCTCGCCGTGGCTTGATGAGCAGCGCCAAAGTCCGCTGCTGCGGCCCGCCCGCCTCGCGGCACAGGCGCTGGCCCCAGCGTTGTAGCCGATGACGTTGGCTTACAGCTCCCTCTTGCCGCCGCTAGCTGAGCAGTGCCGAGGTCTGCTGCGACGGCCCATTCTTCTCGCATCGCAGGCGTTCATCCCGGCGTTGTAGCTCTTGAGGCTGGTCTCCAGTTTCTGCTCACCACCGTTTGCTGAACAACGCCAGCGCCAGCCGCCGCGGGTCGGCCCTCGCGCGGCGCAGGCGCTGATCGTGGCGTTGCAGCCGATTGAGGCTGGCTTCCAGCTCCTTCTTGCTGCAGCTCGCTGGGCGGTGCTGGGACCTGATGCGACGGTTTCCCCCTCGCACCGCGGGCGCTGATCCTGGCGTTGTAGCTTCTGAAGCTGATCTCCGGTTTCCTTTCGCCTTGGCTCGCCGAGCAGCGCCAGAGTCCGCTGCTGCGGCACGCCCGCCTCGCGGTGCAGGCTCTGGCTCCAGCGCCGTAGCCGATGACGCTGGCTTCTAGGACGCCACGGTCGGGCCCCCGTCCTGACGGGGCCTGCGGGGCCTCGACGCCGCCGACGCCCGCCTTCTGCTATCCTCCTGCGCAAGCGCAAGGGCGAGGCGGCCTCCGACGTCGCTGGCGCCAGGGTCACACTCTCCTGGGATCCGCCGCGGCGCGGCGTCGAGGGCACAGGCCCAAGGACCAGCTTTAGCGCCCAACCGTTGCTCAAATTATTGGCCGAGCGCCTGAATCCAAATGGCAACAGACGTCGGGCAAAGGAAGAGGGTACGCATTCGTGCTGGCACACAGGGGCTTTCTGCTGCTCCTCCTACTCTCCTCCCCCCGCCGCTCCTCCTCCTCCTCTTCCTCCTCCTCCTCCTCCTCCTCCTCCTCCTCTTCCCCCTTCTCCTCCTCCTCCTCCCCCCCCTCCTCCTCCTCCTCCTCCTCCTCCTCCTCCTCCTCCTCCTCCTCCTCCTCCTCCTCCTCCTCGTCCTCCTCTCTCTGATCTTTCCTCTCTCCCTCCCTCTGCCCATTTGGCGGCGACGACGAGGACGGCGACCGTGCCGACGACGACGAGGTCGCCCAGGCGGCAGGCGGCGGCGGCGGCGACGACCACCTTCGCCGCTGGCCGGTACGCGGTCTGTCCCAGCTTGGCCTTCGGCACTGGCGCCCTCGGGGCGGCCTCGGGGGCGGTCTGGCGGGGAGGACGGGGAAAGAGGAGCAGGAGGCTGGGGGAGGGGGGGGAGGAGAAGGAGGAGGAGGAGGAGGAGAAGGATGAGGAGGAGGAGGAGGAGGAGGGAGATGAGGTGGGAGATGAGGAGGAGCAAGAGAATGAGGAGGAGGAGGAGGAAGAGGAGGAGGAGGAGGAGGAGGAGAAGGAGGAGGAGAAGGAGGAGAAAGAGGAGGAGGAAGAGGAGGGGGAGGAGGAGGAGGAGGAGGAGGAGGAGGAGGAGTGAAGGGCGGCATCTGTACGACTCTTGCACCTTCAGTCCACAGTCCACAGGAGGAAGGGGAGGTGGAGGAGGAGGAGGCTACATATGTTATACAAGACCATCACCGAAACGGACGAAATTATCGCCCTCATGGAGACCATCGACACCCCGCCCGCACCAATACCGGCGCTAGAGGAAGCCATACGGTGCTCCCCAATACTCGATTACAACGTTGACGACGAGCACCTCTGCGCACTCATGAAAGACGCCCACGCCGACATGTGGTCTACCACGAGAGGATCTCAGATAATCGTGCAACCCAGGACTGTGACAGGGCCTGGGCTGCCAGCGTTGGACCTGGCTCTCAATTACACGTTCTCCCAAGTCACCAAAGCGATCTCTGAGGACATGATCGAGTAAGACATCGCCGAGGACATGCTAGGACCTACTGACGGACAACCTCTACTAGCTCAGCAGCGAACCACCACCTACAAGCAGGACGGAGGGAGGCTGGTTACTGATGCTTCGTTCGTGGATGACCTTACGGCGTACGCAGTCACCGCCCCAGAACACGCCCACGACACCGCCAACAAACTATTCCACATCATCGCGACGCGGCCGATGGCTGTTGGCATGAAGTTAAACACGAAGAAGACACATTTCATGACCAGCTTCAACGAAAACGGATCCACCAAAGCGACAGAGGAGATGTCGAAGGAGGGCATCCACGACGTCAGCCTGTCAGCATCGAACTACCCCCTGACCCCGTCGAGATCGTCAACAGGCACAAAGCACTGGGCACTATGATCGCATCCACTAGCTCTGCACGGACAGGGCTAAAGAAACGGATTGTTAAGGAGATTGTATTAAGAGGGCCACCACGGAAATATGTATACCCAAGGAAAAGACTGCCGATCGACAAGAAGGTGCAATACACTGATGTTCTCAACAATTCCATCATGCTCTTCAACATCCATGTGTGGAGCGAGTTCGGCAACAAAGAAAAGGACACCCTCACCACGGAATATATGGAGAGATGCCGTCTCTCCGCCAGCTACGAGATCAATAACCACGCACACCAGAACATCACGGACGAGGATATCCCCAGCATTGAAAAATATACCCCAGCTCGACATTGCATTCGCAACCCATTGCGAAAACTACCACGACTACTACAACATGGTTCTACCGCTCTCCTGAAGCTCTTTGATTCCAGCGCAAGACATGGAAGAGAGTTGGATCGAGAACGTCAACAAGTACACGGAGTGGCTCCACGACACGCTCGGCGAGCAACAGAGACCTGCACAGACCCCCGACATATACCACATGGCGCAATTCATCATCCAAGATCCCAGCAAGTTCGGAGCACTGTTCAAGACAGCAACACCTGGGAGCCAACTGATACTTGAGGGCAAAGCGCACTGCGAGCAATGGCACAGGAGGCTTAAGGTATACCATGGAAACAACGATATCCCCTAAGAGACCAGGGGGAAAGGAAGCACATAACACACATACCCACATATGCTACGAATGTGGGGCAACCTTTGCTACCGAGCAAGCCTACTACATACACATGGGGAAGGAACATCCTCCAGATACCACCCCCGCAGCATGGGCAACCGGGACAAGATGCCTCACATGAAACAGGTAGTACCGCACCTGCGCCAGACCCGTCAAGCACCTTAAGTGGACGCCTACGTGCGCGACCCCGTGGCACAACGGGGTCCCACGATTACCCGAGGAGGACATCGATAACACCAGGGGATTGATAAGAGCCATTGAGCGGACCAACATCGAAGCAGGCGACTACGCGGACGTGCCCAGCTACAAGACAAACATCCTGCCGTACTATACCAAGGGTCCGACCGCTACCACATGGAGACCAGGACCCACCCTGGCACCTGAGCTAGACAGCGACGGGCCCAAGCCAGCCATGGTAAAAGGCGAGGGATGCAAAGCCAAAGTTGTCCTCCACCGATGCAGTGGGCAATGAGGGAATGGATACGTACAACAATTGACGGGAAGCATATTGCCACCCGCGGAGACACAGACCTACGCGCTATCCATCGAAGTTGCCGACCACGAGAAGAAAGGCGACCTGACTAACTGGGACACCATCGAGTACTGGATAGATCAAATGCACCAAGGGCACGCGGTCGCCATCGTGGCCGGACCTCCATGCGAAACATGGAACGCACCAAGAAAAATACCGATAGAGGGTGCAAGACATCAACCGCGAACGCTACGATCAGGACAACGACCATGGGGACTACACTACCTAAAGGACACATAATACGACCAGCTCGACATCGGCAACCCGCTACTACGAGCAACGCTGCTCTTCATGTACGCAAACATAAACCCTGTTTTTTCCCGCCAGCACGGAGCGTCTCGAGACAGCCATCGACAGCAGGAACGTACCAATGAGCTGGCTACTCTCCGAGGTTATGCACATCGCGGCACTACCAGGAGTCCAAGCGGCTTCATTCGACCAATGCGTGAAGGGCCAGGTCTCGAGGAAGCCCGCAACCCTGCCGTGCATCCAAATCCCGCAGCTCACGTACAGCATAATAGCCCTGCCCAACAACTGCAGGTGCAACCACGGACGAGGAGCACACACACACTGTTGCTGGGCAGGAGCCATGATGGCACGTGGGCGAGCGCAGTCGCACATAAACACCCGATCGAAATGTGTTTCATCATCGCAAGCGCCGTCTGCAAAGCGACAGATCCAACTCGGGCGCGCCACAACGAAGCAGACAACTGGGACCTGTCAGAAGAATGCCGCAACTTCTACGCCCCTATGGATCCCTACTACGCCTTCAACCGCAACACGGACTGCATAGCAAACCGACACCTCCGACCCAATTAACAGATAGTTCGGCATCCCTAATCAACATACGTTTCTACTGAAGCCCCAAAGCATGAGCCTCTCGAGCTCTGTCTGTTGTGCGGGAGCGACACAAGGACGGGCGTCACACTCACATGCCACCCGACTGGTGACTACCAACGCAGCAGTTCTTGAACGCCTAGCCCGAAAAAAGAGACAGGGCCGTCCACCTAATGCCCCCGTACGATGAAGGGATCCCGCAGCCTCTCCTACAGTCGGACTTGATTGGAGAGGACACGCGAGAGGACAAAAGACCCTTCCGAGGGCCACATTGCCATAGGAATGCAGGATGCATGGGTCGCGAGACACAGGACATAAGGGTACCCTTGATTTGGCAGGGTCGACCTACTAATTCCGGCCGACTGTACCCTCCCTCCCGTCCCTCACCTCACCACCGCCATCACCTCCTACCAGTCGGCAGCCAGCAACGACTCAATCTAAAGGAACCACACCAGAAACACCAGCATACACGAGCACGATACCCATGCCTCTACCCCTCCTGTGCCTGCTGCCGGCGTTGGGACATGCAGGCGCGACGGCCCCACGACGCCCAGACGCCGCTTTAAAGCCCACTGCACAAGCGGCGGTATTTCTGGGCTACCAACCCACTGTACGCTTACGGCTCACTCTGCGCCCTACGACGCTCTCTCATATAGGCCCCTATGCTTGGGTGGCGAGGCGACTCAGAGACAGTGAGGGCGAGAAGCCTCTCCTGAGGCCTCTAATATACGATTCGCGGGCACCGTCTGCTGCGAGGGATGAACACAATATTGGCGGAAGTGGGCATCGCTCGAATCGCCAGACTAGTCTCTACCAGCGCAGCAGTTCTCGAGCGCCTAACCCGAGAGGAGAGGTTGCCCACTAGCTCAATGGGACAACGACGTTTACATCACCCTTCTTTTCCACTTCCCCACGTACAGCACGCTCTTACCCATGCCGTCCACCCCCTCCTATGCCCGCTGCCGGCGTGAGGACATGGAGGGGGTGCAACCACTACCGCGCCGACCACCAATCCGCTTCAAAGACCACTGCAGGCGATGGGACATTTGGCGGGTTGAGCGGCCTGCAGCCTACGACAGCACATCCAAACGCTCACAATCATGCCTGTCCACCCCCTCCTATGCCTACTGCTGGCGTGAGAACATGGAAAGGGGAACAGCTACGACAGCAGGCGTCCAGCTTACGCCCACCCCGACATGAGAGCAACGCAGGATAATCGGACCGCAGCTACAACAGCAGCTACAACAACGAGCGGCAAGCGATGAACAACTACACCTTGACCAATGCGCCCATGCACCAAGAGTTCGAGCAATACACATCGTCAAGGCCAATGACAAGAACCTGCGACGAATGAGAGAGGGACGGCCCACGGCGGAGACCATGAGGACTAGGGTACGATAGGACGTCGGAGCACGGCGACTAGTGGCAGCGAAACCTTGCCAGCATAATCAGCATCTGACATCGTCATATCCCCCATCCTCACCTCCCCCCCGATCCCACATCTCCGTTTGACCTATGGCTCCTATGTGTCATACCGTAGACGTGGCTCAATGGACCTTGCATGAACCAAGGCCATCCGATCATGGCGGGAGCCTACAGACTGTCAGGTCCAAAGCCATGCGACTAAAACATGGAGCTGCCACGCGACCTTGGCCCTAAGACGATCTACGAGGGGGACACGGCCACCTACGACTATTGGACAACGAGGGCTGCTTGGGACACCACAGCGAAATTCGCGCTGGCCACTAACATCCGCATCGTCATCCACACTGCCTACAGGGACACAAGCACCATCAACGCTGATCGCATCAAGACCATCGGGGAGATCGGCAACCCGATCAGGCCAGAGGACGCACGGGA